GGCTCCGCGCCTCGGCGGGGGAAGAGCCGCCAGAGCCAACCTTAGGTACTGCCCCCCCCTCCCCGGCCGCCTCTCAGGGCTTCCCGTGATGGTTGGCGCCTCCGTGTTCCCCCCGGCCCACCACCCCGTTCGCTTCTCGGTGTTCCCCGGCACTCCGGGCGGTCTCTGAGCGCTGCTCGGTGTTCCCCAGGCCCCTCTGTTTGTTTCCGTGCGCCCCATGGCCCTCCAGGTGGGGTTTGGGGTGTCCTCTAATCTCTCAGTGGGCCCCGAAGCCCTCTCCAGCACTCTCTGGGTCTCGGGGTACACCGGGGGTTTGGTAAGGGGTCTCTGGGCTTTACAGCCTCAGGCCGGGCGGCACCCAGCAGCTCAGGTATCAGACCTGTGTGGTGGGGTTTAGCAAATGGCTCGGGGCATCCCCTTGGCATCAGCTCTGGAGCCCTCCGTCCTGCCCAGCACAGCATCCTCTGCCCGGGCCGGCCCAGGGAGGGTGATGCTCGGTGGGAGCAGGTCACCGCTCCCGCTTTTGCTGCAGTGCCGGAGGTAGAGAAACTGGTAAGCGAGGAGCCAGTAGTGCTTCCTAAAGCCCATCCCTTCTGCTCTTGGTCTGACCCAAGGCAGCCTGCGTTTTGGGTGCAGGGCCCTGTGAGGACAGCGAGGCTCCCCCGTATCTCCTCAGCTTTTCACCAGCTTCCCCAGCTCTCAGCGCATGAGGCCGGGTTATCTGTATTGCTTCCGTTTCCCTGAGCTTACTAGCAGGGAAGGTTTGGTGGGAAAAGCTGTTGGGCCTCAAATTTCCTTTTCCCAGCAGAGCCGTGGCCTGATGTGCCTGACTCCAGCGCAGTGCCCGGGCTGTGGGCAGAGGAGACGGGCTCCTTGCTTTAGTACGAAGAGCAGTCTGGACTGAGAGCAGAGCTGGGAGCCTGAGGCAAGGCTGTGTGATGGAGGAAATAAAGCTTTGTGGTTTCTTTGTGTAGCGTGTCCTGTGCTGCAGAAGCATTAGCAGAAAGGCACAGGTCTGGGCTATCTAACTGTCTTATCATCATGACCCCATAGCTGATGGGAAGAGCAGCTTTTCTCCAGTGCCACCACCCGGAGGAGAAGCTTTTCCAGCCCTGCCAGGCCAGTATTCCCAGCGTCATCCCCCAGAGCGGGGCGAAGCAGCAGCTGCCCCAATCTGTCTTGGTGGATTTATGTACTGGAGACTGTGACGTTGCTGCAGTTTGCTACCTGAGGTTTTTCCCAACTGCAAATTGTTCTTCCAGCCTGAACCACTGGATGGGGCAGGAGGAATAGATGTGGTTTGATCTCGGCTACATTCCTCAGGAGCAGCAGTGGGGAAAGATGCTGTGCTCCCTGCTGAGCCAACCCCCGGCAGCAGCCCCCCCACTGCCCACACAGCATGACAGGAATCGCCGTGCCACCACCTAGTTTCTGCGCTTACTCCAGCTGTCCTAAAAATAGCAAAAGACTAAACCTGTGGAGACTGGTGTCTACTTGTAAGCCTGGAGGTCCAGGGCACTTCTAAAAGCTACAAAGGACAAAGTGATTTAGGGGGGGAAAAAACCCTGCAGGGATTTTTTTTGTCCCCAAATAACAGGGTCTCGGCAAAGGTGTCTGGCCCTTTCCCTCAGCTGTTCCAGTTAGGCCAGACTAAAACGGAAAGGCTGTAAAACCCAGATTATGCTTTGTGATGTGTCTTCCTATACGCAAAAGCCTCATAAGGAAGCTTTTAATGGTTGTTGTAAACAAATCATTGTCTCCAGCTATACATCCAAAATGAAAGAGGCTGAAGGAACTATGAAGGTTTTTAATGTCCAAATAAATTGCTCCTGCTGCAACAGCAACGTGTGGAGCATTTGCTTATTCCCAGCCATTAGTGATGCTGGTGAGGACAGAAATATTCATGCTCTGTATTTAACTGGAAATTAAGAGAATGTATCATTTGGTGACAGGAACTTTTACAAATGGCCGCTCGCCCTTTGATTAGCTCCCCAACTAATAAATCAATCACTGGCAGGACTTTGGGAAACTTGATTTACAGCTCAGACCTGCTGGAAGGTTCTTGCTGGGGGTTGTGTTCCCAAAAATCCACCGGTAGATGAAGGTGTGCTGGGTTTTTCCTGCGCTTGGCGGGAATGCTGGGGGGCTCGTTTAAGGTTTGCTTTGGAAGTTGGGAAGAACGACTTAGGAGGGAAAGCCGGCTGTCCACCCACCAGGCAGCAACGCTGACTGCTCTGGACCCACAACACGGGTAGCGTAGCAACGGGGATCTGCCCCGGCTGCAAGGCTAAGAATAGAGACAGGGAGCGTGGAACTCGGAGCCTTCTGGGGTTACGGGGACCTCTGCCCCCCGTGAGCATCAGAGCTGGGCTGGGCTCGCCTCACCCGCGGCGATGGGGCTGCTGGAGGTTTGGCTTCCCGTGGCTCTGGGCCACTTCTGCCTGCACCTTTGTCCCCAGGCGTCCCGGGCCCTGCTGCAGTGCCTGAGGCTGTTGGTTCTGCACAAGCGGCGCCTCCTCTTGTGGAACTGGTGCACCTCTCTATAAATGACCTGTAAATTAAAGATTATCTGGTAATTTCTGTGTGCTGGAGCAGACGCTACAGGAGCATTTATTAACCCGCTGGTCCTATTCTTATGCTAACAACTGTAGCTCATCTCAGTAATAAAAGGCGTTTTAATACCTGCTCAGCTGCTGACTAGAAAGGGGCTTGGTTTGGTTTTCAGCGCGGCTCCTTTTTGCAGACAGACACCCTAGGGTCAGCCTCTCCATCTGATTTTTCCCTTCCAGAGCACGCTGTCTGCTTTCAGCCTTGCTTGTTACTGCTGCAGAGCTACTTCTGGTCGTGCTGGTACCTCGGGGCACAGAGAAGAGCTTGAAACCTCGGAAGAGGTAAATGGTTTGATTTCTCTAAGGTGCTATTAGGAAGGCCCGTTCCTGAGCAGCTTCCTGCGCCCTGGCTCTGCGCTACGTCTGCAAAGGATGTAACACGTCTAGCACAGCTTGGATTATTTTTATTTTTTTCCCCTTTAGAGAGTGTGGCTCTGCATGGGGAGGCCAGCGGGCAAAGGACCATCCCACAGGGTCTCAGAGCTCGGGGTGGCCCCACTGACTTATCCCTTTGCAGGCGCCTGGCTCATCTGCAATGAGCAGTGATAACCTGACCCTTCTGTGCTCTCGTTTCTTGTGTTTTATTGCCAGGTAATGCTCTTGTACTATAAAATCCAGGATTTCACAGCCCCGGAAATGGCTGCAGCCTCAAATATAAAATGAAGTCCTCAAGGGCAGCGATTCATAAATCACTGGTAGCGTGGTCACAGTGTGGGCTCGCACTTCCAGCTGAGAAGAAGTCCTCAAGGTCCCGACGGAGCAATCAAGATAAGATTGCAGGGTCGAAAGTAGATGAGGGATGTGATGAGCTGTAAATCCTCTCGAGCTGTCGGGCTGACAGCAGCGAGATGAGGCTGTGCCTCTCCCCAGCTTTGGTCTGGCTGTGCCCACACAGTGTCTCGCGTTGGTTTTGGCAAATTTCCCTTACGAGCAAAGGGAAGAAAAATGGGCAGGCTGGGCCAGATGCAACCACCAGCCTCCAGCCCCCGAGAATTACACCGGCAATCGTTTCTGACTGCAGGAACCTGCTGCGGAGATGCTAAATGGACTGGCTGGGTTGGTGGCTTGTTAATTCAGTTGAATTTATTTTGTCATTTAGGACTCTTAGTAGTTTGAAATGATTATTTCAAAGAAGGTTGGTGCTTGTGAATGAGGGGCTTACAGCAGAGCCGAGCTCCTGCAGCTCTGGTGTACACGGGACCTGAATCCACGAGGGCAAGCTCCGGGGGAAATCGGTGGGACCCTTGCGCAGGCTGCCAAGCAGGCTGGGGTTTTCAGAGGTGCCGACGCCTTTGCGGGGAGGAAAGGAGGACAGTTTGCAGAGCAGGACAGCCTGCTTCACCACGCTTCTCTGCTCGCCCTGGGCGAAATCCTCCGGGAGAATTTTTCTGACAGATCTTGAGAGAGCATCTCAGACCAGAGCTGCTCCGGAGGGCGCTGCCTCCCTTCCCTGCTGTGCTCCATCCCTTGGACATGCCGAGTGGCTCAGAAGTCCCTAAAGACATGCCCAGCGTGCCTCTGCCACCAGTTTTGTGGCTGGGTTGTTTTGTTTTTTTTTTTTCTTTCTGTACTGCTGATCAAATCCCCGTGTGGGTAGTGTCTGCCACAGCTGTTGTAAGGAACCGAAGGAAGAAATGCCTCAAACATTCATCGACACAGAAAACCTCAAGGACGAGCCGCGGCCTTTGGATTAGACTAACGAATGTCACCCAACGTGCTTCCCCTCAAGCACAAGTACCGGCTCTGTTAAGCCAAATACTTTGTGGCTCTGCTGTGCAAGCCAGATACCAGGCTTGCCTTGCTAATGGCTCCCCTCCCTTCACAGCTGAAGTGGTGACAAGAACTGGTAGGAGGTGATCATTTCTGGGATGGCTGCTAAGATCTCTGGGAACAAAGCTGGGCAGCGACCGCCGACTCAGCCGGAACCCCTGCTCCACCTTTTTTCCTCGTCTCTCGTGGGAAAATGAGTTTGTGGAATACCTGCCCCTCCTCCTCTAGTAGGCTAATCAGCTGATAAAATGAATTTAAAGGGTGACAGAAACTTTGCTCTGTGTGCACCCACCACCCAAGATTAACGGGCCTGAGACAACGCTGGATCCAGGGGTGGTGATCTGGATTTCTTCAACTCTCTTTTTCTTTCCTTTCTGATAGATTTATAAGAGACCACATTGCTTACTATCCTTTTCCAAGTTTAAATTGTTCTCTACAGCAAGTAAAACATTTTAACCGCTCGTTTGGTGTCGTTTCACCTTAATTTAACCCGAGGGGATCGCAGAACCCTTGCGATTCTCTGGGCTTCCAGTCCGGGTCGGGACAGCTCTCCAGGTGCCGAACGCTGTGGAAGAGGTTTTGGGGAGAGAGGTTGTAACGCTGACAACTTTAGTGCTGCGCGACAAAAATCTTAACACAAACCCATCTCACAGGGGCACCGCTAATGGAGGTTTGTGCCGCGCCGTGGTCTGGGTGTGACTGTCGATCCCGTCTTTCAGGACAGGCTTTGGGGGGTTTTTTGTTTTTTTTTTTTTGTCTTTTTCTGTGAAGGCTATGAGATACCAGAAGAGTTGAGATACCAGAAGAGTTGAGATTCCAGAAGAGTCAAGATGCCAGAAGAGTTGCCTAAGGAGGCTGGCTCCTCTTTGGGCTATGGATTCCTAAATTCCTCAATTTAAATGCAAATTTGCAGCCGTTTGATTATGCCATGCATCAGAGTAGCTTTTGGATGGTGAACAGCTTGTAATAATCAGCTACGCATCCCTCAATACAGATATTATCTGCTGTTGTGATGTGGCTGCGTGCCTCTGGAGAAAGCAGAGTGCTTCAGAACAACCCTCCTTTTCCCTCTTTCTCCTTTCGCCTCTTGTTGAAAATCGGTCTCATTACCTCCCTGAAACCTTTTTTAATCAGCCTGGACAGCGCAATCTGCTTTGCAAGAACAGGAATAATGGTTTTTTTGGAGGTGCTTTGCATGGTAATGCTCTTCTCAGCCCGAAATGCTGCTGCTCAGAATGACTGTGGCTTCAGGAAGGGCTTGTATTTCTTCTTGGCATCTTGGTCTTCTACAACCAGCATATTTTTTGTTGGGAGGCTTATAACTGCCTGATTTACAACTTCCTTTAAGGAAAAGGGAAGGGGGGGAAGCAGGATCGGTGTGGGAGTAGGTGTGTTAGTTGTGGCCATGGCCCACGGGAAGCTCGTCCTGGTTGGGATTGCTGTCCTGGGATGTCTTCTAGGACACAGCCCTGATCTTGTCACACCAGAATTTCCTCGACCCTTCTGCAGCACACTTCCCTGCCCATCAGATTGCTCAGATGAATAATATTTGACTTTTAATCAAGCCCGTTAACAGCCATCACCACACTTGAGCATCCCGTTTAGGCACTCGTCACTCACCCACCCCCTTTCCTGAGGAGTGTCTCAGGTATTTGCATCTTGCTGATGCCAAGGAAAGTCCTGTCGACGTGGTTACTTAGCACCAAGAATACGAAAACTGCAGTTAATCCCCATTTCACGCTTGCCACTGGATTGGGTTGATTTTTGAATCGCCACTGCAGGTTCTCAAATCTTTCATTAGCTACCGCTTGATTAATTTTGTTCAGTAATAAACAGTAATTGCTTGTCTAAACAACCAGGCCACGGTGAAGCGGTGTCTGTAATTCTCCGCTAAGTAGCGGTGGGGAACCCAAAATTTGCTGCAATCCGCACAGAAATTGAAGCGGGGAGCTTGCGAAGTTGAGTGAAGAATCTGTTTTCTGCCGTACGTTTGTTTCTTTTACGTTCTAACTTTGTCGTGACGCTCTCACAGACCATTTGGTGCTATGGAAACCCCAGTTTACACACTGGTGCATAGCTGCAAGCAATTAACTACCTTCCATTTTCATTTTTCTGGGGATATTTTTGACTTGTGTATTAAGCAAACATTTATGCAAAACGCTGTGGAATCCATAAATGTTAATTAAGTTGAACTTGTGTCTCTGCCACAGCAAGATAATCAGATGGATGCGTTCACTGGAGTCTGCAAAACTTGTCACGATGGCTGAGAGCCGCTCTAAAAAAAGACACGACGACGCAGGGGACAACGGGGCCTTTGCTCTTTGGGTGTCACCAGGAGTGGGCTCCTGCTTTCACCCGCCGTGTCGCGGCTTGACCTGCTGCGGATCCCCCCTTCGCCCTGCGAGTGACCCCGGTGGCTTTTCCTGCACAGAGCCAAGGCTGCAGATGTGGCCGGTGGGGAAGGAGCCTGCTGACGGAGAAGAGCTCTGCAGTCGTTCACCGGGCTGTAAGCGCAGAGAATAACCCCCTTCTCCGTCCCCTCCCCTCCTTTGTAAAACAGCCGCCTTAAAACAACCTCCCCAAAGCCTCAGCCCTGACCCAAACCCACCAGGTAGCTCTTGATTTTGGGGGTTTTCATATCGGATGGCAGGTGGAGGAAATGCGCGAACTGGGATGAACTGGGGCACGAGGAATTTGGATGGCCCTGGACCGTTTCTGCAGCAGACTGCTGTGGCTGATGAACGTTTTTTATAACCAGTAAGCACATTCTCAGCGCTTATATCTAGCGTGTGTGTGCGGGTGCGTTTAGGAACAGGTCTAAACCCTTCTGAGAAAGGTGATGTACTGATGCTGGTAAAGAAAACGACTCCTCATTTGGATCTGACGTGCTGAATCCTGCTGTGAGGTGGGATCTGCTCTCGGGTTCCCGCTGCGGGGAAGCTTGGCTGGAAGCAGATGCCTGCACGAAGCACGGCACAGCAGCCGTGCATGACATTGTTTATTCCTTCTCTCCCTCTTGCATGATAAAGTGACCTATGAAAATAAATAACAAGAGCTTAATAGGCACATGGGACAGGGCCTTTGGCAAGCAGTGCCAATCAGCTGTGCCTTGGCAATGCTTCTCTAATTAAAAACTGCAAATTATAGCTGGCTGGAGCTGATTGCAAGGGCTGGCTGGGTTGGGGGCTGCGGGAGGTGAAGCACGGCTGGTTGCTCCTTACATTGAGACTTTCTCTCCCATCAGGGTGGTGAGGCCTTGGAAAACCCAGGACTGTGTCATCCCCAGAGGAGCGGCGGGGTTTGGCAAGTCCAGACCAGAAAGCGGAGCCACGCGAGCGGCCGGTAAGTCCTGTCTGCCTTCGAGGGGGGGTTCCAGCCTTTCCCCTGCTGGGGGAATCGGTGATGCGCGGCTGGTCCCGGCTCTGCGGAGGGCTGAGTTTTGAGGGTTATGCTTTTTCTTGCTGTAATTCTGAAATTTCAAAGCGTACCCCTCACGCCAAACCCACTGGCCACCTTTCACCCCTCTTTTCGCTTAGTTTTGGCTTTGCCATGTTTTACTGCTTCTCCTCCCGCTCCCAACAAGCCACCAGTTGCCATCTCTCATCGCTGCGAGCTCATTAACCGGTTGCAACGTGATCTCACGAAAGAAACATTTATTTATGAAAAATCCATTTGGACAAACCCGACGATCAGAGAGAGACCATTTTGGGGAGGAGGGTTGGACTTTTTTTTCTCTGTAGAGATGCTACTATGAGAAGAACTTCACACAAAGCTCCTGTGAGCTGCCCCACACACCAAATACCAAACCCCAGAGCCCGTCTCATCCCCTCGCTCCCCTCCTGGCCCCGACTGTATCGTGTTGCACAGAACCAGGTGCCTTTTTGTCTGGGATGGAAAGTTTAAGGGCAGAGACACCCGAGAGTCATCTCTCACCCTCAGCTGCTCTTGGGACTCACTGTCCTTCCTCCGCGGTGCCGCGACCGCCGAGTTTAACGGATGAGTGTGATTTAGCTTCTGGCAGAGATGGTTTTGGGGGTGAATATACCACAGGAAAAGGGGCTATTTGCCTGATCAACTTTGCATTATAACTGCTGTATTAATTATTCAGCTGAAGACAGGTTTTTTGGGGCAAGATGGTTTGTTCAGTAGATTAATAACAGATTCCTGAAGCCTGAGAGGTGTTTTTTTAAAAATTATTATTACGATTTTAATGGTAAGCAAAAGCTAGGAGCTTTTGGGCTGGGCACTTAGTTTGTGTGATCTCACAGGAGGGCTCTGTCTAGGACACAGCAAGCTGAAAAAAAAAACCACCCCAACCCATCAGCCCTGCGGAAATACGCAGCAGAGAGCGGATACTCTGCTTCCATCCCAGGTCACTACCCGTTGGCAGATGTGGGGCGTGCTCAGCTGGGCCAAGCAGTGACTGCATCCCTCGGGGGACAGCGAAATAAAAATAATAATAAAGATAAGTGGTGGGCGGGCAGCCTTTTGCGTGACTGTGGACAATCCCCTTACAAGCGCTGCAGACAATGGGGATCAGTACCAGCTGCTTTGCTTTGACTTCCACATTTGCAAAGCTGCTTAGTTTGGGTTTTTTTGTTTTTTTTTTTTGTTTGTTTGTTTTTGGTTTTTTTTTGTTTTTTAGCAAGCAGGCTCTTGCTTGGCTTCTGCAGGTTTTTTTTTCTTTTGTTTTGAGCTGGTGGGAGATAAATGGTTACACATGAAACTGTGTGTAAATGTTGTGTTTTGGAGCAGTTGAGCAGACTGGAGGTATGTATGTACGGAGACGAGGATTTGCTGCTCCATGCTCCTGCTGGGAGCTAGGTGGGAAGAGCAATTTCTGAGTGCCAGGAAGCAAACCTGAGCTTATAATCAATCTCCTGGGGGTAAGGAGATGGCTTCAGGCGGGGATTTGGGTTTCAGAGCTCCCTTCTGCAATGGTTTTGGCTTTGAGTGAGTTATAATTGGGCTTAGGCAGCTCCCCTTAATGATGGCGGAGTTATCTGTTTGCCTCCAAAGAGGAGATGGCAAAGGGATGTGCACAGACCTGCTGAATGATTCTCTCCAGATGCTATTAGTTTGCATTTCAGAAAGCCAGGAAAGAGACAAAGAAACTGTCTCGCTTTGCAATTGAATTTCTAATCAGAGATCTGCAAGCAAACCAGGGAAACAGGCTTAATAAACCAGAGAAAGCCTCTGTATTCCAGCTGACCCGTGTGAAAGGAGAGCTGGAAATAGTGCAGAGACTGGGCTTGCCGTCGGGTTAGATGTCCCACCCCCAAGCCTGGGTGGGGGTGTCTTGTTTTAGGCTTTTCAGTCTTCAAACGAAGATTTCTCCGTGGCATTTGCATGCACAGAGCCCCCCAGGGTTGGTGAAACCAGGTGATGTTGCCCGATATGCGTGGACACGGACCTGACCCCAACATCCCATCTCGCGGGTTGGTTTAGATCCTAAATGTGAAAAGAGCCTCGTCCCTACTCCTCCCTCCACTTGATAAAATAATTTGGCACTCGGAGGGGGGAAAGGAAAAACCCGGGTCTGGGTGCGCTGTGCCCGTTTACACAGAACATTTGGGTTTTCCTGCATTGGTCTCCATCAGCTGAACGATCCTTTGACACGTTCCCCTCGGCCTGGCTGTCCCAGGCAGGCTCCGCTGCGATCGTTGGCACTATTTATAACAGGTGGGACTTTTGTTTTCCCCACTTTACTTCAAGAGAGAGTTTTTTTACAAGATGCACAAGAAGCGTTTTGGGCTGTAAACTCTCAGCTTGAATTGAAGCCTTCATGCACGCCCGTGGGGTTATCCCACGTCTCAAGCTGAGCATTGCTTGTGGGAAGACAGTTGTCGTTTCTCTGCACGTCTCATGACCACAGCATCCTTGGGGCATAAAACACGGAGGACGAAAGGGCAGCATGGTTATATATATACATACACACACACACACATAACTTTTTTTTCTTTTTTTTTTTTCCTAAACGCTGATTTCTCGAGGCTCCCAGCCTGACACAAAACCCTTGTGCGTGGGGTGTATGGATCTCCTAGAGATTCAGCTCTCTACACCATTTCCAGATATTTGGTTTCATTTTCATTTTGAATTTGGGTTGGCAGCTGGGAGTAAATCAGAATTTGGCTCTGGTTTGTAGCACCTTCTCGTGTATTGGCAGCACAGCTCCTGTGGAGTTGGCGGGAAAAGTTTCCACGTCCAATCCTTGCGTTAAACCCCTTGGCATCGCCCATCCCTTCGATCACTGCTGCCTGGGGTTGGTGCTTTTTTTGTAAAAGCAAATCCCCCGGGCAGGCTCGTGCAGTTCCCCCTTCTCCATGCCACAGGGCTGCGGGAGGCAGTGGCAAGGAAATATGTAAATGTGTCTTAAGGCGACAAGAACGGTGAGAAGTGGAAGTTTAAGCAGGAAGAAAAGAGCGTATTCCAGCATGTGTGTGAAGGCGGTTTTTAACGTCACGTAGTTACAGCACTCGGGAAGAGCGTGGAAGTGGCTGGAAGAGCTGCTCCTCGCTGATGGCACTTGGCAGGATTTTGGGTAAGAATGATCATTCTTGTCCATCTGGTTTTGCAGCCATTTTGTTTCTCTTGGATTCATCTCTCTGCCCACTCACTTAATTTCTGCTGGAGTCGTTGCTTAAATACGCGTCTTTTTACCTCCAGGAACCACCGTGGCTGGGATTTATTAATGACTGGATCTTCCAACAACCAGTGCGGAGGCTGGAGAGTTGAACAGCTCCAAAAGTCACCTCTGCTTTACTTCTGGAAATTACTGTACTCATCAGGGTCTGGTGTTCAGCTGCTTTAAAACGAAGGAGCAGTTTCCTTGCCCTGTGAAAATCTGTCGTGCATCTCTCCAGCGTTTCTACCTTGCAGTGAATCCACTTTAGGAGTCTGATTTCTACACCGAAGGTGGGAGATTGGACCAGGAGCAAGGAGCAGTTGATACAACTGCCCCCAAATTGCCCCCAAACTTGTGGGTTTGTTCCCAACAAGGCAAGTTCACCCACCTTTCATTTTATTTAGTTGTTTGGGTTTTTTTTCCCCCTTTGAGTGTATGTTCATACCTTTGCTGACCAAAGGAGCCCTTGGTATGGACACCCCCAGTGAAAATTATCCATTATAAGAGGGCTAAAATATTAGATATATCCGGGTACACATCATCAACTTAATGTTTTATGCGAAAGACAGGGGAATGAAAAGAAAAAAAAAGGTTTTCCTGATTAAAACAAAATCCAGAAAGTGGAAGTGAATCATTTCAACCCTCCTCTGAGTAAAAAAATGTCTGCAAAATTCTTGTTTCCCTTCCAATCTTGTATGCTGGCAAAACTTTGTTTTTCTGACAGAATCCTACCATGCCCCTTTCTGTGCAGCTCTAGACATTTCCAGGTTGTGAAAAACATTTCAGTACTGTCAGTCTCTTCTTCTCCAGACCTCCACAGGCTTCCAAAATGTCTCCAAGAGACATCTCCTTGGGCCTTTTAGGAAATCACAGTGATTGCTTTTGGCACATGCGGTTGATTAACAGCAACCAAAGTCTGGCTCAGTTCAGAAACCCTTTCCGAGAGCTCTGTTTCGATGAGCTGTGTTGTGGAGTGGCGACAGAAGACCATCGTGCAGAGGGATGCGGGTGCCGGAGATGAGTTGAGACTTTGCAGAAATGCCTGGATCTGAGTTGAAGCACCAAGTGGCTGGTGGTGCCCCATGGACGTACAGGCTCCTGAAGTTGAAAAGAGCGATTTTTTTCTGGATTTTTGAATTGAATACCCCGCTGAGAGTGACAGGGAGAATGAAATGAAAGATGGGAGGACGAAAGTGCAAGACTGGTTCATTTTCCTGTGGGCTGGGATGCCCTGGGAGATCCCTGCTGCTGTACAGAGAGCAGGGAAGTGCCTGCCGATGTTGTACTTACGGTTTCGGAGAAAATCCCAGTTCTGCCCCATGCCTGCATCCTATCCACCCGCCTGGCACGTGGTGGGTTGGACAGGCAGTGAGCAAGGCGGAGGCCAGCCAGACCTCCCCTGTGCTCGGACACGAGCCACGGTGGAGCACATGAAACTAATCCAAAGCTTTAGCTCTCGGGCTCGCCCAAGGATGGCGAGCGAGCGGCACAGCAAGAGACGATAAAACAGCACGGAAAAAAGCTGGCACATCACAAACCAGGGTGATGATGCTGGGTGGACTGAGCAAAACAGCATCCCAGTGAGGGAAGGGGGATGGTGGCACCCTTGTGAGCGGCTGACGGAGCCAGGGAGCCCCTTAGGTGAGTGTGTTGGAGTAGAAGCTGAAGCTTTCGGAGACCGTTTTGGAGTCGCTGCGGGAGGAGCCGTTGGAGGTCATGTCTACGGAGAGACGCTTGGCCTTGCTGCTCTCCTCCAGCTCCTCTTCGGCCCCACCAACCGCTGAGGACACGGTGGTCTCTATCCGGCTGACTTTGTACATGCTGCTCTGTGTCTGCAGGTACCTGGCTGACTTCATTTCCAGGCCCTCGTACTCACTGGCGCTGACGAACGGGCACCACCGAAATGCGTGCTTGAACCCCACACGAAACCTGGGGGGATGGAAGAGATGGGGGAAGGCAGGGGTGAGGGATGTGGAGGTGGCAAAAGGACCTCGCTAGGAGCGGGAAGGCAGAGCTAACCTCTGCTAAATGACAACGAAAAAAATGCTGCTTTTCACTAAGGGGAGGAAAAAACATGGATAAATCCCACTTAGGAGTCAGGACTGGTTTGATACCTGCCCTCAAAACCCCCAGAGGCTTTAGGAAAGACTTATTTAGGTGAGTATTGTATCATCCCTGCATCTGGTGAAAGCAGTCCCTGGCAGAGGATGGGACAGAACCATCCTGGAAAAACTCTTCATCCATACTCTCCTCCATCAGACCCCTCTGTATCTCCCCCTCCTTCCCTTCCTGTCGCACCAAGATGCTGCCAAACGTCACTGGAAACCCACCTGTCATTGAGGCAGCAGTAGATGATGGGGTTGTACATGGTGGAGCTCATGGCCAGCCACATGATCGCCAGGTAGACCTGCTGGATGAACTTCTGCAGGTACCACTCGGGGCTGAAATATTGCAGGGTGAAGTAGATGTGGTAGGGCAGCCAGCACACCGCGAACGTGCATACCACGATGATCATCATCTTCACTACCTGTGAGGAGAAGAGAGGGCAGGGAAGCAAAGTCATCTGTTGGGCCGCCTCTTTTTGCCTTGGAGACCTTTCCAACCGGGAACGCGTGGTTGACATCTCGGTCAAACCATGTCCATGGACGACACACGGCTGGAGGACGCTCTCTGCTCTGTTAGCAACAACCACGCAACGAGTCCAGACCTGCTTCCCCTCCTAATGAAGTGTTTTAGGCTGTGGTTAATTGGGATTGGGCCTGAATTATGTCTCCTACCATACTTGGAGCTCCTTACCTTCCGCTTAGCCGAGACCTGCTCGTGGTACCGATCGGAGGAGTCGCCGGGTATCTCGCTCGCCCAGAGGGTGATGCCGACCACAGTGTAGGCACATCCTATCACCAGAAGTGGCAAGAAGTAGATCAGGATGGTCATGCAGAAGTGGTACCTAGAAAAAAAATGATTAAATAATGGTGGCTGAGTGTGTCCTCTACCTATTCAGTCTTCTCACAAACTGAGCTTGAAGGCAAAGTGCTTCACAGGGGTAAAGAGGATTCAGCACAATTCCTGCAGAGCTCGGGCTGGGAAAGACTCCCTGCTTTCACCCCAATCTTTTCCAGGCTTTTGGCATCCCAGCACCCTCCTAGGATGGGATGTAGAGGCCGGTGAAGAAGTTGTGACCTTCCTAAGGCAAAGATGTTTTAGCTGAAGTGGCTCTACTCTCCCTTCTACTCCGTTTACACCCCACATTACCCTCGAGATGAATGCTTGCTCTTTGCCTTTTATCTGGCAGTCCTGCAGGAGCAAATGTGGGTTTTTTGACATATAAAGGATGGGAATATTAAGCTGAAGAAATAAAGGCTTTCCCTGCGGGGCAAACACTGGGTCTTGGATGCAGCTTGCTTAAATCCTGGTCCACCATCGGTTTAGCTGGGCTAAGGTGGCACAAGGAATAACCCTTGTCTACAAAGACACAGCCTGAACCCTTGTCACGAAGGTTTATTAAAACTTCTCTGCAAATTCAGTGGCTGGGTTGGGTCTCCTTGGAAAAGGCAGGATCTTTGTGTCTGTTTAGAACAGGTATAAATAAGTCCAAAATGGAATGAGAGTGCCTGGATTAAACTGTTAGAACAGGCTTGAGACTCTTTTGTCGGGAAGTCGGTGGGGCTGTGGCAGGTTGCAATAACCGCTGGGATTGTAGCGGGTTCTGTGAGGATTTGTTTTAAGTAGCGGTTGTTTAAGAAGGAAAAAAATAATGCTGTTTTTAACAAACAGGATGGGGACGGACTGTCTGTCCTTGCAGGTTCCTTCCTCCCATCAGAGCTTGCAAAAATCTCTCTCCCCTGCAGAAAGATCAGCAATAGCGGTGTAGAGATGTGTCTGGCTGGGACAGTGCTGGCTTGCAAAGCGTCACGTATGCCGCCGAGTCCAGAGGTAATTTTTTCCCAAAGGCTTTAGGGTCTTCGCGCGTGTTTCTGGGGTGCGTGCCCGGCTCGAATGTAGCCGCGCTTTGCTCTTGCACTCCCTCACCCTCCCGGGAGCTTTGATTAAATAATATCTCCAAAGTGTAACGAATGGGTCAGGCTCGTGCCTGGTGCAACTCCCCCAGGGGATGGGGCCGGCCCCGGAGCGGTGCTGCCACGCCATCTCCTCCTCGTTTTGTACCTGCAATCTCATTTGGCCTCCTCTTTGCCCAGCGCTAATTGCATTTGAGCTGGATTTTGTAGGGCTGTTTTCTATTTTGCTAATTAAAGAGGCGTCTCTGTGGCTCCGCGATGAAGATTTTGTTGTGGTTCCCGTGTAATGCTGGGTCTTAAACCAGCTGCAAACAGCTGAGAGCAATGCAGAAATGCCCCAGAGGACCTGTTAGATAACATAAGCAAAATGAACCCTTATTTTCAGAGCTGCCTGGGCATGGGAGGGACTGGGATTTCCAAAGAGCCCTGGTGGGACTTTTTTTTTTTTGGACCCCGGGTGCTGAAAACTGGTCTCCACGTGAAACCGTTCATTTATTATTCTGCCTACAAGAACTGCAGTATCAGAGCACTTAGAGTAGCCTGGGTTTTGGAATTTAAAGGTCTTTGGTGTGGGGATTTAGGGTTTTGTGCAGGATGGAGGAGCCCGTAGGAGTTACGGGACAGCGATGCCATCTCCTTTTGCCTTGCAAAGCCCAGATGGCCGCCGCAGGCTGTTATCTTCCAGATAATCCAGAGTGGCTTTTCCCCTTCCCTTAACAAACCGAAATGGCAGCTGATGAAATTTGGAATAGATCAGACATCTGTTTCGAAACCAAAAGCAGGAGAGAGAATCCATGGTTAGTGGTGGCGAGCTGAATCGCCGGCTTCTGTTGCAGACACATTTCGCCTGCGCCGAGGTCTTTGTCTGCTTCCTCCCCAGGATGAGCGGGCTGAGAACGGGCACGTTTTCCCCAGAAAAAAACCTTCATGTGCAGATCCTGGTCTCTGAAACACTCTGCATGCCAGGGTTGTGCTTTCTGGGCTCCAGTTGCCAAGAGAAGGGACCTCCCGCTGTTGGGAGAAATCCCCTATTTTCACTATGAACTGAAAAAATAATATTATTTTTCCTCATGACATTTGCAAACAAGCCAGCTGCTGCCAGTGCCTTCCTTAAATAACTGCGCCAAGGCCACACGAGCAGGGGAGGGCGTTTGACGGCGACCCAACCACCTGTCCCCGTGAAGTTATTTCGGGGCAGTAAAATAACATCCCGGGCTCTTCCGGGCTCTGCGCTGTGCGAGTGAGTCCGTGTGGTTTGGAGAGACGCTGCCGAGCCGCGAGTTATTTTCAATCCTCTCCAAATTATTTGGGGTTTGGCTGTTTAAAAAGCTTCTGCTTAGCATCTGCTCTCCTGGCTGCCCTCATCCATCTGCAGAGCCCCTGGCTCACCGAAGGGCACGGGCTGCTCGGGCTTTGAAGCGGCACCCGGCTTCCAGTGGCAAACCATTCGTAGGTTAATGGTGGCGTTTTTCCTCTCGAATTAAGCTATTTGAAAAAGCGACGGCCCCAGCGTACAGCCGGACGGCAAATGATCTGTCAAAGCCAGGCCCTGAGCTTGTGCTTGTAGCTGCTTCGGTCCGGGGAGGCTCAGCCCCACGCCGGCCACGCGGGCTGTCTAAGCCAGCGGCATTTCTTTGTGCTGGCTGTATTTATCCCGGTGGCCCAAAATAATTAAGGTTGGAAAACACCTCTGGGGATCAGCTGGGCCAGCCCCAGCTTGGTTCTTGCCATACCTGCCTTGTAATGCGAATAAATAAGAGGATCATAAATGATACCACCCGGCTCTCTGCAAACTGCTGTTCGCTGCCGACCGGCAAACTCCTCTCATTTGTCTCGCGGAGACCTTCGCCAGGCTCACGTTGGCTTTAAACACCTCTGGGGGTGTGTGTGTGTGTGTCCTGCTTTAGCTCCAGCACAATTTCACAGCCCTAATTCACTGCTCCACAGGACTGGAGATCACAAATGCCTTTTTTCCCCCC